ATATATATCCTCTGATCCACCTGTAACACCAGAAGCAAATGAAGTGTATCTCTACAAGACCTCAAAATCAGGTGCCATAAATATGGAGTTTTGTTTTGATCACCATTCATGGTAAAAGAAGGATCACATTTATGCAATATTAAAAAGTATGGAAATAATTTTTTTGAAAGGGTATTATCATGTTTGAACAAAAGATTTTGAAAAATACTATTTGGCTTTCCATAAAAATGTATACTGCTTGATCAAGGCAAATAAGATGACTCCTACCAAGTACTATTTAAATGCACTGTTTGGGTAAAGGAAAAGTTTTTGTTCCCAACAGACATAGTAATTCAAAATCAAATGAGACTTACATGCCATTCAAAAAAACAAGCAGTATTTAACAACATTAGAAGCTATGACACTGATAAACATCTATAAAACAGTACTTAGTAAAATGGAATTTAATGAAGGGAGTCAAGAAGAAAGAGCAGTAGATTATCCTTGAATTTAAATTGAGTAAAAATATTTTATCCAAAAAAGGAATGAATAAAGATTTCAATGTATGCTATTTTCTGTTTAAATCAGCATGCACTGCAACTTAATGATTTCACATATAACAACTTCTCACTCTGATCTAATGGTATTTATAGAACTGCCACAAATACTAAGTTTGTTGTGTTATGTTTTGGAGATGTTAAAACAAACTATCCTATGATATCACATTCCAACTTGGAGACTTTTATTTGTTTGTATTGGTTCAGAAAACCACAGAACTGGAAACTGACTTTCTAACTAGTATGTTTCATGTTGCATGAATGGAAATTCATGAAACATCATGAGAAATTTTTAGTAGAGGTGTTGTCTAGATGAGGCATGGATATTAAAAACAAAAAGATTCTTGTTACTGTGGAGAGATAACCAGGTATTGTAATGGCATTAAAGAAAAACTTCCTAGCTCAGTGTATTGTTTTCTTTTGGATTCATATCATGAGAAATGTTGAATTGATTTTAAAAAACATGAGGGAAGAAGAGATTATGTGAAGGACCCGAAAGACAATGTGGAACAACTCATTGACTCTTGCAGCATTGTGTAATTCCATGAACAGTATGAAACAATCAGTAAAACTTGGAGTGGAAGCTGCTTCAAGAATTATTTTGACAAACATCTGAAATCTGACATTCAGTAACATATGGTTCTCTAATAATGCTTGGAGATGGCTTGAATGGGTAATGAAGACAATTTTTAATATAAGTTTGACATAACAGCAAATGTACAACGTTTCAACAAGATTTTGTCATTATCAGGTACAAGTAGTTAACATTGACACAGATATATATACATACATACATACATACACACAGTATGGAACAAAGAGGTCACATCACTGGATACTGTTGCACAACTTAGAAGAACTATCTTGGCACCCCAGGGCATTGGTTTAGAGTAGGGTTGTTTTGTTCAATTAAGATGGATTCCTTGATATTTTTTTTGTTTATGCTTGGTTATCTGTTTAAAATTACTTTGTTTTTAATAGATATACTGTTACATCTCTGGTCATTAGTTAATTTTCCGTAAAAATTCTATCCGAAGAAACTTTAGCGATTCTTTCTGAATACAACTTTGCAATACACTTAATTTTCACAGTCACGCTATAACAAACGCTATAATCCACAACGAATGACTCGCGTGCTCGACTCAACAATACATCTCTCTCTGTCCGCAGTTCAATTACATTACATTGTTGCCGTCAGTTCTTACCGGGCTTATATATACCGAAATCCAGTAAACACTCGAGCATTCATGAACCTTCGATAATATGACGTGTTACTAGCGTCAAGTGACCCCTGCTGTCGTAATAATACTATGGTTTTTTGAGTTGCAATGGTGGAAAACATGGGACGGTTTTTTATTGTGATCTGTGAATCTGGTTTCCAATTTTCTTCCTGTTTCTCCGATGTAGAATTCTGGGCAGTTATTGCATGTTATTTTGTAAATGATATTGGTATTGTGGGATTCTAAATAATTTTTGTTTAGTACCGATTTTAATTTAGGGCCGGGTTTTTGAGAGAATTTAACGTTGACAGGAATTTTGTGTTTAATGGCTAGTTTTGTCCAAGTGTGGATAATTTTTGAGCTGGCTTCAGGGACAAAAGGTAAACTGCAGTGTAATGTTCTGTTGTTGGGTTTGTTATTATCAATTTTGTTCGTGAGTTGAGTTTTGTTGTGGTGAATGTTGGAGAGTTTTTTTCAACAATAGCTGGTGGAAATTTGTTGGTGGGAATGAAGGAATGCTTTATGTGGTTGATTTCTTCATCTATGTAGTCCATTGAACAGAATCTTGAGGCTGTGTTTATGCGGAATTCCAGAGAATGTGGAGGCCGGTGTTTGTGTCCTTACGGTGAATTTTGGTTTTAAACTGTGTGTCCGATCTCATAATGTTGAGGTTAAGAAAAGATAACTGTTTATTTTTTATGGTAAATTTGATGTTGGGATGAATGGAGTTTGTGTTCAAAGAAAGTTAGTGTGTGTTCTGTAGAAGTGAAACCAGCAAAAGTGTCATCGACATATCTGTACCAGTATAGTGGGGAATGAAGCACAGGATGCAACTCAAAAAACCAAAATATATCTATTAAAAACACAATGATTTTAAACAAAGAGCCATAAATAAACAAACAAAAATCA